TTTAGGACTTCCAATCGCTCCTAAAGATCTGAGCCACTGTTGAAGAGGATCCCAACTGGCCCCAGGATGTCAGGAATCTCGTGTGGACAGCTGAGGTGTAGTTTGACTGTAATACCTGCGTACCTGACACAAACAAAATAATGCTGACGGTAACAGAAGCTGAAAATAAAGATTGAAAACAGTAAAAGCACAAATGCTGAAACACCGGGAACCGAAATAAACTAAATCTAATGAAAAAAGTGCTAAACTATCGTTCCTGGGACATTTAACCTCCTGGGACCTGGCGTCCACATACGTGAACATCACATTCTGGGACGTCTAGACCAAACTACAAGGGCCTGATGTCCACTTACGAGGACGTTATGCTGCCACTGTCCTATCAAAATTTGAAACAAATGTCCTCATATGTTGATCTAATTTTTCTCAAAAACAAAAATTAGGTAAAAAAATCTTTAATTCTTTGTTTGTACATTCATCTGGTCCCAATCAGCCCAAATTAAAAATGCCATGAAAGAGTTCGGGTCTTACGAGGTTAACACACTTTTCATGAGCACATTAACTTCGACCCGTGGACTTCATGAACTCTGTGTTTGCTGCTTCCTGGCTCTGCTGGTCCTACTAAACTGGTTTATTTTAGGATTTTTCAGGAAGCTGACTGAGGCTCATTTCACTGTCAAATCACAGCAACACCTGCAGCAACACCTGCTGAGCGTCATCCAGTGTGAACCTCATTTATTGTCCGTCTACCTGCTGATGATTAACTCGCCTTCGGCTCGTTTACATTTCATATTTTCATACCTGCGTCTGCTGCGGGAAGCGGTGCCCAGTGAAAGGGTTCATCGTCATGGTGATAATAATCTGTCCCACGTCTCTGCAGAGTCACTGACTCACGTCAAAGGCGGACATATTTACTGTGACATCATCAGGCTGACTTGGAGTCGCTCAGCGAGCCATCAGTCAGGAGGTAAACCACCTCGCCAACAGACTTTACAGATAAACGCTGATGATGTTCAGCTCACAGCTGGGATGAAGGCCAGAACATCTGCGGACGAGGTTCTCTGCTTGGAAACATTTCACTGCTCCTTCCTAGTGTCCCTTCGACTCTATAAGGACACTAACAAGCCACATGAGGATGTACAGCAGGAGGTTTAGGTAGTTTGAAGTGTCAAAACCTCCTCAGTAACCATGTGATCCTCCTCAAGTAGTGCTTGAATCACAACAGGGACAAAGAGGACGTATAACTGCACTCCCACAACCATCTCAAGTGCCAAAAGAACCTACCAACTGGTCCTTTAAGGTCATCCTAGGCCTACTAGGACTTTATAAGTACACAAGAAAGACCCCCAATGATATCAATGACCTTGACAAACCCACAGAGGGGTAACGAGAGCACATATAAGCACTCTCAGAACTTCACATACCAACCTAATGTAAGTGATCACCACATTTTTGTCCCAGAACCTCAATGGTGGCACCAAAACCTCTTCCAGCAAAGACAAATGACATATGTAGGCACTCCAACAACCTCAGGTACCAACGAAACCTGATAGACCTGATCTCTGAATCCTTCTTTGAACACTAAGAAGCACCTCAAGCAGTCCTGGACCTGAATGAGGGTATCAAACCTTAAGAACCTTGTAATTCTTCCCAAGAAGTCCAAAGAACACGTCTGAGCACTGCTACGGCCACCTCAAAGCTCAGAGGTCCTGAAATCCTCGTCTGTGATCACTGAGAGCTACACGGGGACAGTCGCAGCACTTTGGGAAGATTACAGAATCGACTGGTTCACCCAGCTAAGAGCTCATGGGTTTTTAGATCAGCAGCGCCCCCTGCTGTCAAAAACTCAAACACTATTGATGGTGCAGCAGCACTTCAGCAGTTTTCTTGGCTGCTGAGCAGATCATATCAGAGCCTTAACTAACTAATATTTTAATTATTGCATAGATGATTAGTTCATCTTGCAGTGAAACACGTCTGCTATGAACCTGAAGACGATCTGTTTCCTCTAATCTGTGACAACGAATAAAAATCTGAAGAAGAAACAGTGAAAAGAATGAAAAAGATTCAGTGGGAGAAACGTTTCATTATCATCAGGCGACGTCTTCAGTCTCAGCTGACTGCAGGTTTCCAACCTTACAAACAGGACATTTGCATAATGACTGAAACCAGCCCACTGAAGGAACGAAGGGCTGTGAGGTCACTTATAATAATTAATATGCACATTGGCATGACGATTGATCAACAACACTGATCGAAACACAAAGGCACCAACGACTTTGTTCAAACCCTTTGAACCGCAAAGGATTGTGGGAAAACTAAAGCTTATGACTGAACCATCGAGTCAAATGAATTTCAGATTCATGTTTTATGTAATGTAACTCACTGTAATGTAACTCACTGTAATGTAACTCAATGTAATGTAACTCAATGTAATGTAACTCACTGTAATGTAACTCACTGTAATGTAACTCACTGTAATCTAGCTCACTGTAATGTAACTCAATGTAATGTAACTCACTGTAATGTAGCTCACTGTAATGCAGCTCACTGTAATGTAACTCACTGTAATGTAACTCACTGTAATCTAGCTCACTGTAATGTAACTCAATGTAATGTAACTCACTGTAATCTAGCTCACTGTAATGTAACTCAATGTAATGTAACTCACTGTAATCTAGCTCACTGTAACGTAACTCAATGTAATGTAACTCACTGTAATGCAGCTCACTGTAATGTAACTCACTGTAATGTAACTCACTGTAATCTAGCTCACTGTAATGTAACTCACTGTAATGTAGCTCACTGTAATGTAACTCAATGTAATGTAACTCACTGTAATGTAACTCATGTAATGTAGCTCACTGTAATGTAACTCAATGTAATGTAACTCACTGTAATGTAACTCACTGTAATGTAACTCACTGTAATGTAACTCAATGTAATGTATACTAATGACTACTGTAATGTAGCTCACTGTAATGTAACTCAATGTAATGTAACTCAATGTAATGTAGCTCACTGTAATGTAACTCACTGTAATGTAACTCACTGTAATGTAACTCATGTAATGTAACTCACTGTAATGTAACTCACTGTAATGTAACTCACTGTAATGTAACTCAATGTAATGTAACTCACTGTAATGTAACTCAATGTAATGTACTCACTGTAATGTAACTCAATGTAATGTAACTCAATTCTCACTGTAATGTAACTCAATGTAATGTAACTCATGTGTCTCTGTAATGTAACTCAACTGTAATGTAGCTCACTGTAATGTACTGTAATGCTCACTGTAATGTAACTCAATGTAATGTAGCTCATGTAATGTAACTCACTGTAATGTAACTCAATGTAATGTAACTCACTGTAATGTAGCTCACTGTAATGTAACTCAATGTAATGTAACTCACGAATGTAATCATGTAAGTAACTCACATGTAATGTAACTCACTGTAATGTAGCTCACTGTAATGTAACTCAATGTAATGTAACTCACTGTAATGTAACTCAATGTAATGTAGCTCACTGTAATGTAACTCAATGTAATGTATATAACTCAATGTAATGTAACTCAATGTAATGTACTCTGTAATGTAACTCAATGTAATGTACTCAATGTAATGTAACTCAATGTAATGTAGCTCACTGTAATGTAACTCACTGTAATGTACTCACTGTAATGTAACTCAATGTAATGTAACTCACTGTAATGTAGCTCACTGTAATGTAACTCAATGTAATGTAACTCACTGTAATGTAACTCAATGTAATGTAGCTCACTGTAATGTAACTCAATGTAATGTAACTCAATGTAATGTAGCTCACTGTAATGTAACTCACCAAATGTCGCATTAACAGCTTTTCTGATATTTCTGATGATTTTTCTCCCACTTTTTTAAAAAGCATGTCCTAACCAGTCTATATAAATTATTTATTTTCATTTTACTTAAATTATATGTTATTGTTAAGTTAAAATATGTTTTTCTAATAAAGTCTATGTAATTGTCTCTATTATTGTCTGTACAGAATACTAATGTGTTACTTGATGGCATAACATTAAAGTTAAGTTAATTAGGATCGATATACTTCGTATATCCACAAGGCGGCAGTAATGCAAAAACAGTTGTAACTAGAAGAAGTTGCATTTCCTGCGAAAATGCAGTGTGAATGCCGTGTAGTGTAATCTGAAAAAAGCAGAAGAAGGAGAACTACCTGCTGGAAACACTGTGTGGAAGCTGAACTGTTTGCTGAAAACTGCTGTATTTGAAGGGGCACACTAAGCAGTGTCAATAACGCAGAGTGCATGCAAGCAGGAAAGATGCGCAGCAAATGTCACATGTAGGATTCGAACCTTTGCCACCAGACCTCATCGTGGCTGCTCAACCCACTGAGCAACGCCTGCTCTGGTCTCAAGCAAAGATATGATGAGAGAAAAAATATTCACTGTGCAGAAGAAGCTGAATTGTGCTGACAAGAGCAGAAGAGGATGAAAATTGTGCTAAGAAAAGGTGAATCAGCAGACTTTCTGCTGAAAAGAGGAAAAGAAGCTGAAGTTTGTGCTAAAAACAGCTTAAGAAGCTGGAATTTGTGCTGAAAAGAGTTTAAACAGTTGAAGTGTTAACTGAAGAAAATGTTGGCGTAAGCGGGACTTGAACCCGGCCCTCCTGGGCTGAGAACGGCTGCTCATCTCACTGAGCTAAAAGTAAATAAAATATGTTTTGTGTTTACACTCAGTCTTTCAAATAGATGCAAGTAAAACACAGCAGAAAATAAATAAAATCAAAGACTCAGCGGTCCTGTTGCTCTATTTTCACCTGAAAGCAGGCGGAGGTGTGCTCTGGTGCAGGTGAGCTGCAGCGGTCAGTCAGTGGGAGATCCGCGAGTTTCTCTGTGTCACATTCCCGTGGCAGCGCACTCGGTGCTTGCTCGGAGGTTTAGGGTTTTTTCGCTGTAAAAAGAAGTTTTCTTCCCACGCAGCGATCAGCGGACGCTAATGTTTTTGTCACTTTTTATGGAATCAAACTCAAAGTAATGTGATTACTTCCACGCTTTAAACGCTGCACGCTCACACTCTCTCTGCACTCGATATATTATTCTTCTGTTTGGATCAAAGCATGAATAAATGAATAAAGTCATCTTTGTGTTTCAGATACAAAATAAAAACAGCTTTCACTTTGCCAAAATACAGAAATGTCTCATATTAAACTTTGGGTACATGAACACGTCACATCCATCCACCCATCACACCAACAACACCGACCTCTGCTGTAGGTTAAAGAAGCAGCGCTGTGATGCTCCACCCACTCTTATCTCACCAGAGGTTAAAACAACACAACAATGTATGAATTCATACGTTCAAAACCCATAAATATGCGTTATCTAAAGCTGTGACCACACCGCTGTCAAACAATACACTTGGTTGGTCTAAAATACGGAACAGCAAACAAACAGAGTTTAAACTGGAGGCGTCGTCTCACTGCAGGCAGGCTTCAAACTTCAGTAAAGTCTTTAATCCTCTTTGGTTTTCTCACGGAAAGAAAGAGCGCTGCAGAGAAAGAGGAGAATATGTCAGAGACAGACGTGGTCTTCATTCCCAAACTGAAGCCAGTGTTTGAAGCTAAAACCTGCAATTCCTCTAACGTCCAGCAGAGGCAGCAGTGAGTCAGTCCCACAGAGTGTTAAAGCTTTACAGCAGAATGAAACATGTTTACAACCTGATACGCAAACTGTTTGGTCTCTGCAGATCATTTCTACCTTCATAACAGCTTTTTAAATTGTATTAAGGAATAAAGTCTGCATTACTAGGGGCGTGGCCTATGTAACTGACAGGTGGATGGTGACACAGGTGGGTGTAGCTGCTAGCTGTCTGCTAGCTTCACCTGAACTGGACCTCTGGACCTTGTTTGTGCTGTTGGAGCCTTTTAGAGCATTTTTAATGACATCACCTGACCAATAACATGGCTGCTCTGAGGTTACTGTAATAACAAACCATCCAACAAGTCTGACTAAGAGCTTTGGTCAGATTCCACAGTTTTCTGTGGATGGTGCTGATTAGCAGGTATCTGTGTGATGCTTTATCTGAATCATTAACTTGTCCTACAAACAAACTGGCTTTAGTGATTTTTAGTTTAAAAAAAAACAAATATGGAATAAAGTTTTGTACCAAAGCATAAACCTGGCATCTTCACCCAGTCCGATAAAGGAAATGCTGGTTTCAATTATGGATTAATTACCTTTGAAACTGAGCTTGAGTGAAGGCTCCTCCTCCAGCAGGGAGTCTGAGTCGGGCCACAATTGGTTAACCAAGATTTTAGCGTTTTCAAAATGATCAAAATAGAAGTTGGGTGTGACTGTGGGTCTGTCTGGTTCACAGAATTTCAGGTTCTCTCTCAGTTGGTCAGAATCAAACTTCAGTACCTGGAAAAAGAAAAGAGAGAGTGAACAATAAAGCTTAGTGACTACAAAGATTAGTTAAGAGCTTAACTGTCAGACACACATCAGCCTGTGAGTTTGTTCTATCCATCCATCTTCTTCCGCTTATCTGAGGCCGCGTTATGGAGGCCGCAGCCACCTCCTCCAGTGTTCCCGGGCCAGCCAAGAGATATAATCTCTCCAGTGTGTCCTGGGTCTGTCCTGGGACCCCCTCCCAGCGGAACGTGCCCAGAACACCTCACCCAGGAGGCTTCCTTGTTACATGGCCAAACCGGCTCCTTTCAATGTAGAGGAGTAATGGCTGTACTTTGAGCCCCTCACAAATGGTCAAACTCCTCACCTACCAATGCCCCTACAGTCAGAGGACACCCTCCAGTCCCTCTTCTTGAAGATGGTAACCACCATCCCAGTCTGCCAGTCCAGAGGTACTGCCCCTCTCCACACAACATTGTAGAGGCATATCAACCAAGACAGCCCTGCAAGATCCAGATCCTTCAGAAACTCAGGGCGAACTTCATTCACACCAAGGGCCCCGCCACCAAGGAGTTGTTTAGCTGCCTCAGTGACCTCACTCCGGTGATGGACTAGTCACTCCCCAGGTCTCCAGACTCTGCTTGCTTTATGGAAGACTGGGATTAAGGAGGTCCTTGATGTATTCCTTCCAACCCAACAATATCCTCAGTCAAATCAGCTGCACTCTGCTGTCCTGCATCTGGTTTGGGGGTTACCACCACGACAGGCACCAACGACCTTGCAGCCGCAGCTCAGTGCAGCAGTTGAAGATCTCGCCTCTGTCAGGTGTTCCCAGCGAACCCTCATTTTACGTTCAGGTGCACCAGGTCTGTCCACCATCGTCCCCTGCCACCTGATCCAATTCCGCCTCCAGGTGGTGATCAGTTAAAAGCTCACCATCTTTCTTCATCCAAATGTCCAGAACATACGGCCACAGATCTGATGATACAATTACAAAATTGATCATCGACCTGTGGTATGGGGTGTCCTAGTGCCATGTGCAGTTACAGACACCCTGGTTCACACAGGAGTCCAGCTCTGGTTCAGATCTGGCAGACCCTTCCTCCCAGTCATGCCCTTCCAGGTCTCAGTGTTGTTGCCCGCATTAGTGTTGAATTCTCCCAGTAAGACGACAGCCCCCAGGTGGAGCACGCTGGCAGTTTACTCTGAACTGCTGTTCGGCGCACAGGCACAGATGACAGTCAGGACCTATTCCCTGACCTGAAGGTGCAGGGAACATATCCTCTTGTCCACCAGGGAAAACTAGGGGATACTAAGATATCCACCCCAGCTGAGACAAAGTCCGGCCTGTCTCCGGAACCAGGAACCAGCACACCACAGTTGCCAGTGTGTGCTGGCCACTGCCCAGCACTCCGACAATAAAGCCTCTGGGATCACTGGGACTAGCAAACCCCTCCACAACAATAAATCTGCAATTCACAGAGGGGGTTAGTTTGTTGTTGTGGGGCGATCGTGGCTCAAGAGTCGGCAGTTCGTCTTGTAATCAGAAGGTTGCTGGTTCGAGCCCCGGCTCCGACA